GAAAGGATAGCAGATCATTAAAAACTCTGAGGAGATACTTTTATTGGAAAGGCAAGCAAAGCAAAGCAGCCCATGGTGTTATGTAATGCAGCTCTGTTGAAAGAGTGCAGGAAAGTTGCCTTGTGCCAATAAATCAGGCAGCAGCCATGGAGGAGCAGATGTGAATCACACCTTGCTTCATATGCCCTGCAGTGTTTTCACTTATTGTTCCAGTTTTAAAGATTAATGGCACTCAGAGATGAGTATTATCTACACTTCCATTTTATACTCTTTATCAGAAAAGCCTCTTTCAGCATAATTAGCATGGATCAAATTTTCCAAGTGACGTGGCAGACATGCTGCTGTTCCTTGGCTGCTGAGGATGCCTGGAACATCCCACTGCCCCAGCTAGACACAGCACCCTGTAGCCTTTAAATATGGAGGGAGAAGGGGCCCTACTGAGATGGCAGTTGCTGCAATGTAGAAATGAGGATTCCCTGACCTGGACTGCCAGGAACCCCCCTGTTCTGCCACAACATCCCTGCAGAGCCCAAGGCTGTGAGGAGCTGACAGCCTCTCTGTTCCTGAATGGGAGGGGAGGAGTTTCTGACTGTGGAGGGTAAGCTGTGGGTAGGTGCTGGTCCTCACCAGCCCAGCCAGCAGCAGCCCTGAAGCCCCAGTGCTGGTGCACAGGCAGATCTCTGCTCTGGGCTGCTTCATGTTATCTGGGCACTGGTGCCCGGTGCTCAGCAGGAGATCAGGGCACGGAGTATTTGATGCCTTGAGGAGTAATGGAGGTGGGTTCCCTGTATCAGGAGCTCAGCCTGTCTGTGGGGCAGGAGGGCTGGGCAAGGGTGGAGGTGGAATGGGAGATCTTGAGGAGATGGTGGCTGGGGAAGGGAAACCTGCTGGCATCTTCCAGGGCTTATCCAGGGCTGCCAGTGTGTGCGTGTGGCTCATGCACATTGTCTGCGCTGTGCCCCTCACAGGACTCGGTGTGAGAGGTGCAATGGCCTGAGCTGGGGAGGGTTGTGTCTGCCTGCAGGGGGGCATTGGTGGGGAGTAGGTGGGCTGTGGATTCTTCTGTGAGGCTGCCACTGGTCTGGAGAAGCCCAGGGAGCACAGTGCTGAGCTCCCTTCTACATCCAATCAATCCATGATCATTTCTATCATGAAGATAAACTGGCCATTGTTGCCAAAAATAAATGTTAGTGTTCCAAATCCACACTTCAATAGCACCAGCTCATTAGAGATGCGTATCATTTGGCTCCAGTCCCACACCTTCCAGCTCGTTATAAATATGCAGTTGCTGCTGGCTCTACCCCAATCATCTCTGCAATCAGAGCTTTTAATTAGGTTAATTAAATTGTATCAAACCTCGCAGGGACGCAGTTCACTGATGCTGATGAGGCAGCCAAAACAGACCTTAACTCTAGCTCTAATGAAGGCCCTGCTGCAGCTAATGACAATGCATAATAAATTAGTGCTTCCCTAGAAAGGTGCATCAGGGCTTATGCTTTGGTGAATGATGATCTGTATGCACTATCTCACTATTGCAGTCTTTAGGTCTGCCAAGCCAGGGACATCCTGGGAATATGTTTCACTAAATAATGGGCTCCTGCCTGCTCAAAGCACTGCTGCTCACCTGGGTTCTCTCAAGGCACTAATGGCTTCAGGTGTAGAACTGTGAGGCAGCAAAGCAGATATTTACTTCTTTCACCTTGCCCAGCACTGGGTCCATGCTTGATGCCTGGCATCTTCTGAGGCAGCAGCAGGTATTTATTTATTTGAAACCTTCTGTAATGGAATTTGGGCAGGAACATTCTGTTTGAAGGGAACTGAATGGCTGTGTCTGAGCATCTGGCAGCAGGAATGGGGACGGTACTGTCTGCCCAGACTTCAGACTTTTACAGCTCTCACGCTGATCCTAATTGGGTGGAGGAAGGTCCAGGTGGCCAAGGAGCCCATGGAACAGAGAGGTTTAGGGCAACCATGCTGAGCATCAATTAGTCATTCCTGATTTACATCCTGCTCTTTCAACTCCCTGCTGTGAAGCTGCTCAGGCTTGAGTGGAGGAACTCCACCACCCTTTTCTCCTTGGTGCCCTTGGGCAAGACACCTCAGCTGAACCTGGCTGTAGGGTCCTAGTGACAGCAGGGCCCGGGCAGCCAGTCCTGCAGCTGGAGACCACCACCTCCTTGGTGACCCCGGAACAGCAGCATCTGGAGGGTGAGTGGGAGCTGCCGGGCTCTTGGTGAGCGGGACATTAACACACAGTGCAGCACCTGTGAGTGGTGGATGGGTGGGATTGGAGCCTCCTCTGTTGATAGAACCCCTGTTGGGGACCTCCAGAGACTCTGGGGGTCCTTCTGGCTGCCACAGCACATGGCCACTGATGCAGACCCTGCAGTGGCTGTCCTGGGGGGCTTCTGAGCCTTCCTAGGCACATCAGCTTCTGTTGCCATGCCCCAGGCATCCCACTGTGGTCTCCAGTCTAGTTCAGGTTCAGAACATGAGGCCTACAGGAAACCACCTGAGAAGCCTAAGGGCTGGTGATGGTTCTCCTGCTAGTAAAATATATTGTTGCAGCTGCCTAGAGATAATCCTGCAAGCATTTTAATGTAGTCTTCTATTAACTTTTATAGACAGTCATTATCAATTGAGTTCTTCAGCTTGAACAAGGAATTACATGAAATTATTATACAGCACAATATCATTCTGAGTCACCTGAAACCTAAACTGTGAATCTGTGGGGTATTTTGATATCTGTACGATATCTGTATCTTTCAAGCTGCAGGGAATCTCCTTGATAGAGAACCTGTTGGTTCAGCCTTTGATACTATAATCAACACAGACAAAAAATAGCTGTGGGCAGTTTCTCGTGGCCATCCCCATGAGGGCCCAGCTAGAGGATGGCAGAGCCCATCGATGTCTCACTTCCAATCCTGCACTGTGGCCAAGTGGGCTGGGTGTTTGATTCAGTTATAAGATATTGGCTCTTTCCAGACCCTTGCAGAAACATTTCAGTGGTTTAGGATGAGGAAACCAAGCTAAAGGTTTTGGGAGTCAAACCAAGAGCAAGGTCTTTGAGAAGGTGTGTTTTTTTCCTGGACACCATCGGGAGCTCTGGAAGGCAGCAGGTGTGAATCAGCTCTGTCTGCTAAGGCAGAAGTTCAGAGATCAGCACCCACCAAATCCTTCACCACTGCAGGCAGGAGTAGGTAAAACATGTTTGTGCATGAGAGCTGGCACCTCCTTTCAGTCTGTTGTGGCCACAAGGTGATAAACCACCCCACAGCCCATGGGATTTGTACCCAGGCTTTGGTGGTCAGGTTCCAGGAAGAAGCCTGCTCAATGTGACATCACAGACATAACAGTGCTCTGGTTTCCCTTTGTTAAGACATTCATGGCTTCCCAGGGAAAAGTGACTCAGAGCAGGCACCATTTTTCTCCCCAGTTCCCATACAGTGAACATGAGGCTGCGTATCCTGTTGGGAGCTCAGTGGACACCACTACCCCTACGATGAGAAGTGTGGCCCTTGACCAGTGACTGCTCAAAGCCTCACAGCTGCCCACTGCATCCCATAGAACCTCACTCCTTACTGGGAAGAGATGCCTCTCTTCCAGGGATTGGGCCACTTGCAGCCATCCCAGCACTCACTCTGAGTGGGACAGAGACTCACAAAGCACCGTTGGCAACAGACAAATCCTGGGCCTGGACAGACTGCTGCTTTTCGATCCCTACCACAGTGACTCCTTCAGGGTCTCCCAGAAGAACCGCTGCTTTTCTCTCCCTTCCTTTCCAGTAACGCTCTGGATACAGGTAAAATTACTCAAAGGCAATGATCAGATATTTCTCTGTTTAAATCTCAAAGATATTTCCCCTTCTCGGACAACAGCCGGTGCGGCGGGGACCCTGAGGTGCGCTTTAGAACGACTGAAAGGTGCCGAAACCCCGCGGAGGGTCGTGGGGTTTGGGGCGCAGCCCCGCTCCCCCCACCGCGAGCCCCCCTCCGTGTCCCGCCGCGGGGCGTTGGCGCCCCCTGCTGGCCGAGCCCGAGCAGCGACTCCCGCCGTTCCAGGCACTTTTCATTTTTCCCAGGAAAAAGGCTCCGCGGCGTTCGGCCCTTTGTGTGTACCTGTGAGGAAGGACGAGGCGAACCGTTCTCCCGCGCGGGTGTTTGTTTTCCCTCCCCGATCAGCCGGCGGTTTACAGCCGTTACAGAACCTGCACACTCTAGGTTCTGCAGACTCCCTGGCTGCTTCCCTGGGAAAATTTACCCCGAAGTTGTTGCCAACTTGTAAATCTTTGCAACGGCAGAAGCCGTTCAAGCTCAAAAATGGAGCTGCATTCAAGCCCGTATAAACTTCATATTTCATCGCTGAGAAGATGGGAAAGCTCCGAGGTGGGAAGAACCTAACAAGTGCATCTTCTTAACCCCTTCCAAACCACGTGCTTATTGCTGGCAATACAGCAGAAAGAGACAAAAAAAAGGAATGCTCACACCGAGGCTCTCTGGCCATGCCTGGGCCACTCCAGGATACTCAGGATGTGTCTGCACTTTCCCCCATCCCTGGCACTACAGCTGGCACAAGGGAAATGCAGGGGGCAAATCCCTGTCCCACACTTTGCTGCACTGTCTCTCCCTACACATTTTGGTATTTTTTTTTGAACTGAGGCAACTCTGGAGGCACAGCATAGGCACTGCCTGACTTCTGCACACAATGGAGTAGTGGGAGAACAGGAGGCATTGGAGGATGCTAGAGCAGTGACTACAGGGTGATTCACCTTTAACCTGCATGAAAAGACAGCTGAAAAAGCTGATCTGAACTCTCATGAGTTTGGACAGGTTGTGGTCACACCCAGAACTGATACTGACAATCCCAAAGCGCCTTCCCTGTCCCTGGGCTGTGCCCAACCCACCACCCCCGTGCTCCACTCCAACCTTGACTGGTCACAGATTGTTTATGGTGCATCTTACCAGGACACTCAGACAGCTCTAGTGGCTCACCACCATAAATACGAAGAGAACAAGCTCTGATTTATTAATCAGTTAGTTGGATACAACACATTACGGCTACCACAGGCCCACAGTAATTTGTTTGAACAAACTGCTGGGCTGCAGGGAAAAGCAGGCTGGCACCAGCCCTCCTGCAAGGGGAAAGCCTTCTCCTTTCTGACCGAAGACTGTAACAATTATTCGATGGAATGGCTAACGCTTCCGCTGAAACTTGAATTTGTAAATAGCTGGACCAGTTGTTGTCTCTTTCTTCACCTTTACTTTATGAGTTTTGTCCTGGAAAAAAGAACAAATATTTGCTGGCATGCAAGAAGGAAAAAACCCCACCCACTCCCATATTGATCAGTCCCTGTCTGGGTCTGACCATTAGTGAAAAATGGTCACTTTGCACTGTTTAGGAGGGAATTATAATTTCTTCTGCTCTTTTCCCCTTCAGGCTGTCAGGCACAGTCTGGTTTGCTCAAAAGCACCAGTGAACAGGAGACTCCCATTGAGACAAGTAATTTTTGTGGTCATTTGGATTTTTAAGAGTTTCTTGTAACCTACAAAAATGGTTCCCTGCCTCTGACTCCTGAAAGTATTCATTTAGTGCTTGAGAAATGACTTGTGAGCACAATTTCACAGTTGAGTCTTTGTCCTTGCTGACAAGGTGAGACTTGGAGTAGCAAATATCATTTACTGGAATGCTTCATCTTCTTGCTTTTTCCATACTAAAAGAGGATTACTTATCTTAAGGAGTTCTCTGGAAGTGTCAATATAAAACCAGAATGAAGAAATATATACAACACACATATATATACAGAACAACATATACTATACCAGCCCTAATGACCTTAAGAGAACAGATTTGCAGAACCAGAACCAAATCCCTCACCAGAAGATCTTTCCGTGTCTGAATTTTCTGTGAGATGACAAACATGGCCTTCTCCCTCTCAATGCGCTGCCTCAGGAGGTCATACTGGTTCTTCCTCTGCTGGGCTAATTTCTGTAGGGAAAAAAAAAAAAAAAAGTTGTTTTAAGACAGAGATAGTCTAAATCTTCTGAATTTCAATGTTGAGCACAAGAGAACGTTAAACTCCCTAATTAAAACCACTTTATCCAGAAGAGAGGGAAAAAAATAAGGTCAGACCAGAGATCAATTCCTGAAGTGCTTAGAGACTGCAGAGGCCCATCAAAATGCAACTTGTTGGGTCATGTTTGCCTAACGAGAGTGGATGGCTTTCCCAGCACAGAAATGGTATTACTGCAGGTGTGATTTAAGTAATTAAATTCAGGAGAACAGATCCCAACATGCTTAAAATACGACTCAGACATTTAGAAGAGAAAACTTGTCAGTCTATGACTTGTCCAACTGCTTTAGTGACAAGCCAAACTGAGACAGCTGGCAGGAGGAAAGGGACCACAGGGTGTTTGTTATCTGACATCTGAGTCAGAAAAAACAGCTTACAAATTTACCAGTTGCCAATTTTAAGACAACTATTTTTACCTTACACCAACTTAGAGACTGTCCAACGGATCTGAAACTAACTGAACAGTATCTACAGCCTTAAAGCTCTGTAGCTACTTCTAGGACAAAACTGCTGTGATACTAAAACATCAATAGCAAAGCTGACTGCATAAACAATTAATGCTGAAGAATCATGAAACAATTCAAATTAGGAAAAGGAGAAAGTGAGAATATAGCTCAAATTCCTTTAAGAAGGAAAGGGGGAAGGCAAATCTCAAGTCACTTTGGGCTCTGAACCAAACTGAAAAATACTGTAAGATCAGAAATCCAGCAATAGAAATATCTGTGTTTGAATAAGCTTCATCAAATACCTATTCAGGTGTACAAGGAGTTTTGTGGAGGTATGAGGGAAGACTTAACAGTGGATGCTAAAAAAAAATCCCACTTAAAACCGCCTCATCAGATCCACACCACTCTGTTCTGACCTGTACATCACAACTTGTGATATATAACCCACCATGGACTGGAATGCACTGACAGAGTTCTCCTTGTCAGTCCAGATTTGACTGCAGGCTCCAGGCACTTGGTGATTAAGTGACATCCACTTAATTGTGTCATCAATAAAAGTTCAAGACAACAGAACAATTTTGTTCTCCTCCACAACAGTGCAATGAATCCTCTTAAGTGCTTTTTATATAAGAGATGTAAAACATGAAGAGCTCTGTAATAGAAACAGTGTCAGTACCTTTAGGTGGGCAGGATCAGTAGCTCCCTTTAGTGTCTCTCTCTGCAGCGTTGCAATGGTTGGTCGGTTGTACACTCTGTCTATGAGCTCGGGAAGAGTGTCCAGCTGAGTGGCAATATCAAACTCCTGGACTATAAATAAAGGAAAAAAAATTTAAGAATATACTCCCATGGACTCCTTTGCTCAGCAAAACTTCCATACATATCGCTACAGTTAGCTACAGGAGCCCCAGCAACATGACTCCTGCAGAACTGACATCCCAGCCAGTAACTAAAAGGGATTTCTAGAGCACCTGAATTCTTATTCCTGGGAAAAAAAAATAAAGCCTCTTTTTATGACAGCACACAATAACACGTGACAGAACTAGTTCTCTGTCAGCCCATTCAAACCTCACCTTCGCGCTCAGTGTCCACGAAGAAAAGGTGCCGGGCCGGGGCGCTTCCCGCCGCGTCCAGCAGGTGGAGCTCTGCCTTCAGCCGCTCGATTTTCTGCGGAAAGCCCAAGTTTGGTCGAATTCGGAGCAAAGAAAATCACGTCTCCCCCGAGGACATTTCTGTCTGTTCCTAGAGGCTACAAACACCTGAACTCCTCCTTCCTTTTTCATCTTTGAAAACACATCTGATCTATATTTACGACATGTCTTCACGACCTTTCCAGGCAAAGGGTCACAGCGATTCCTGCTGTTACCCAGCCAAAATGCACACATCCACCTCCAGAATGGAGCATTCTATATGGCAAAGGGAACGATTGCCATGTGACCACCAGAAAAAGCACGAAGGCAAGTCCAAAGCTGGCTTGCTTTAATTTTTTATCTGCAGTGACAAGTTGATTTTGATTTGTACATCAACATCAGAGTACACAAGATTTTCAGAAGGGGACCATATTTCCATGGATTGCTTGCCTACCATATTCCAACAACCTACTTGAGATTATTCTCCTCAACTGGGAGACCTTCCCACCCTCTATAATTTGCTGACAGAAGGGTGGGGGTCAGTCACTTCTCTCAGGTAACAAGTGACAGGACAAGAGTAAATGGCCTCAAGCTATACCAGGGAGGTTCAGGTTGGGTATTTTCAGGAAAAATTTCTACCCTGAAAGGGTGTCAAGCAGTGTAACAGGTTGTCCAGGAAAATAGTGGAATCATCATCCCTGTAAGGGTTCAAAAATCATGTGGCTGTGGCACCTGGGGACACAGGTTAGGGGTGACCACAGCAGTGCTGGCTGAACAGTTGGACTTGATGATCTGAAAGGGCTTTTTCAACCTCAGCAATTCCATGATTTCCTTATGAACATGCAAAGCAAGGGTACATGTTTAATGTCTGAAATTTACATAAAAATCACCATGTTTTATAATAATTCAGGTGTCATATTTGATATTCATCACACCTTTAGGTTCTGTATCTAGCACTTCACTGACATTTCCATTGTCCTTTCCAGTATTGTACAAATTAGACTTCACTAAACAAACACAATAACCAGCAACAACAACTCTATAAAAAACAATTCTGAGGAAACTAGAAAACACCAAAAAAGTGAGGTATTACCTTGGCTTCTGCCACTCTTTTCATTTCTACATATTTAATATCCTGCGTCCTCATCAATTTCACCTGCTCCGGGGTTACTTCATCCTTTGGCTGCTTTATTACATGGACTCCATCCTACAACCAGACAAATACAGCACTTACCCACAGCCCATCCACCTGGAGTACACTGTGGGTCCTAATAATAACAGCAGAAGAACTTCTTTGTGCTTTGCCCCTCAATTTCTTCAAAGCCTTCCACAGGCACCGAACTAATGTTTTTAATTTACCTCCTAATTCATAAATTAAAATCAAAACAAGATAGGGGGAAAAACGTTAAGAGTAACAGAGCATTATCCTGCTTGAAGGCAGTAGAGCTTCTCACTTTGAGCTCTGCACGTATCATTTTGAAGTAGAACTCATCGGGGTTCTTGTCCAGAGCTTTCTTCTGCAGCGCCCTGAGAGCATTCTGCTTCTTGTGGTAGTCCCTGGGGAGAGAAAAAAAACAGCAATCAGGAGTTGTTCATCCGTTTCTCGGTGTTCACAGCTCCGATGAAGGGCCAAGTCCTTCCTAGCGATGGTCAGAGCTCGGGGCCCGGAGCGGCCGCACTTACTGCGCGCGGAGTCGGTAATCCTTTTTCTTCTCCAGCAAGCCGAGCTTCGTCCGAGAGGCGGGCTAGGAAGAGACGGGAGCGTGAGGGGAGCGGGGAGCGTGAGGGGAGCGGGGAGCGTGAGGGGAGCGGGGAGCGTGAGGGGGCCGGGAGCGCAGGCGGCCCGCGCGGGGCCCGGCCCGGCCCGGCGCACTGACCTGGGCCCGCTCGCGGTGCGGGCGCTGCCGCGCCTTGGCGGCTTTCCTGAAGGCGGCCGACATGGCTTGGGCGGCTCCGGGGGCCCGGCCCGGGGTCACTCCCGCTTCTCAGGGCCGCGCGGACACACGCGGGCCGCTCGCGCCGGAACGGGCGGGGCCCGGGCTCAGGGGACGGAGGCGGCGCGCGTAGCCCCGCCAGGCGGCGCTGTCTCCATGGCGACGGCGGGAGCGCGCGCGGCCCCGAGCCGATGGGACGGGCTCCAGAGGGCGGCGGGAGCGGGCGTCGCACTCCCTCGGAACTCCCGGTCCCATCCATTGGAGGTGCCTCGGGACGGGGCTCATCCCGCTGCCGAGTGGGCGGGACCACTCCGCTCGCCCCCGGTCAGGGCGGGGCAGCCCCTCCCACCGCCCCAGCGCTGTGCGGGGCGGGCGCCGGTTGGGCCGCCCCCGGCCCCGCCCCGGGCCGGGCTCCGCCCTCGGGGTTGGGCGGCATCGCTGAGTCGAGGCCAGCCGAGTCCAGCTTAGCCTGCCCATCGCCGGGGCGCAGAGAGCAGGACCGCGGTCCAGCGACAGCGACCAGGTGAGCTGGGACTGGAGCTGAGGCCGAGGCCGGGGCCTGGGGTGGGAGCCGCCGCCCAGTGTGGCTCCGGAGGCCCGAGGGAGTCAGGCGGGGGTGCTCCGGGGGGCTGAAGGAAAGGCGCCGTGTCCCCCGTGCCGCCTGGGGTCGCGGCATCCCCCGGGAACGGTAGTGGTACCGACAAGGAAAGCTCCGCTCCGGGCTGCCCCGCTCACACCGATTTCCGAAAGGGAAAAACCAAAGTCTTCGGGCCATGGCCCTTTCTCAGACTGAAGTTGAGAGCTTGAGGTGTATTTTATGAAGAGAGCGCTGAGACTTTACCCAACCAATAGACCCAGGAGTAAATTATAACCAAATACTCAAACGTAGCACAGGAAAATTTTCAACACATCCCTAGTGGTTGCTATTTTTCCAGAGAATCCCAGGGTAGCTATGGGAGAAGACTGCTTTGTGTGTGTGTGTGTGTGTGTGTTAGACAAAGACTCGGAAGTCACAGTTTGGGTCTGGCATTAAAAAATAGCTCAGGATCCTTTGAAAATAAATTTTTTTTTTAAAATTTTTTTTTTTTTTGCTCACACACAGTTGTGTTTCAGATTGTGTTTTCTTACAGGTAACGTTTTTAATGTTCTCTTTATCCATTTCCAGTTCTAAACCTCTAGTTACATTAATCACTTTGACTCCTTCATGAGAACTCATGGAAATGTTGGATACATATTCCAGTGTGCCTGGGCAAAGTGTGGTAGTAGGAATTTTTCTCCACAGACTCACAGCACAAATGGATGGCATATGCCGGGGTTATGTATCTTCACAGGGCAGGATTTGATACTGAGGTCTCTGTACTTTAATCTGAATTTGCTATGTTCACTGTTTCCGAGTTTTGAAAACCATGAAGAAATCTTTCCAAAGTGGAAAACCTATTCTAGGAGCAGAGGGAAGTGCAAAGCTCTGGTGGATGCAGCATCCTGCTGGCAGCACAGGTCTCTGGGAAAGAGTGCAGGGACAATCCTTTTGCTTTTCTGACTCCTCTACCAAGCATTAGGAATCTGTGGCTCTCTTAGCTACCCAGGTCCTGAAACTACCACATTTCCCTAATTTCTTTTGCCAACATGTGGTTTAACTTCCTGATAGGCAGGAAAGCAGGAAAGGGGAACTCTGATATTTCTGTCTTATTTTTGTGCCATCCTTTTTCCTTTTCTTAGGATGCAGACCATATGGTTTTCTTGCTTTTTTTGTTGTCCATTTCTTTAGAGGCACAGAGTTACATTCTTACCCAGGTGGGTCTCTAATTTTGAACACTTTTAAGAATGGTAGCATAGCACAGGAAACAAAAATATAGGCAATATGGTTAGTTGTGGTCACTAATTATAGTAGATGCTCTACAGGAAAAGGTATGTTTTGGAACAAGAACTCCTTAAACCTGTGTGTAGAGAGTTGTGGGACACACCGGAGGCAGGGTGGTGTTCAGAAATAGCCAGAATTCCCTAGCAGGAAGCCCTGTGAACTGTTCCATGATGCAGCCTTTGCTGGTCAATCAGTTTCCGAGGATTATGAGCTCAGTGGTGTTCTTTTCTTGTTTTGGACCTAGCAGCTTTAAGATAGAGGTGAACCCTTTACTGATGGAGCCAGAAAAAACTTCTCCATGGGCAGGTGACCAAAATTCCCAGTGCGCTGACTTTGGAAGCACTGGGTTCTGTTCACAGCCAGGACTTGCTCTGTTGCTTGCCAGGTGAGGTTGGATGCTTTCTCCTGTGTTCCTAATTGTGGCTGAGCTGGTGCTGTTACACAGCCGGCTGGTGTTTGAAATGCCAGCAGGAAGATGGAACAAATTGATTACTCTCAGTACTCAAAGTGATTCCCCCCCACCCTCCCTGAAAAACAACGTCTATGATAATTGCCGCACTGATGCCCAAGATTTTGTTAGTGGCTCACCAGGATCCTGGTCAATGTCTGTGGGATTTTTGCTGCCCATAAGTTGCATGAGGCCATGCTTGAAGGGCCCCATTTGCAGTAGTAGCCTCAGAACAGAGACAGGAGTTAAGCCTTGTTGCTCTACTTCACCTTTTGTGTGATAAAGAAGGGTTTACAGAAAACTGCAGGCTGACTGGTCTCAATAAAAACCAAACCTCTTAACTGGACAAACAGCTTCATCATTCCTTGTAATTGCTCAAGTAAGAAACTGTTCTCCTCCAGTGTTCAGTATTCAGTAGCCCTGGTTGGCACGGGCTGTTCTCAGAGTGCCCAGGTGCTATGGCAGGAAGGTGCTGTTTGCAGTTTTGCTCAGAGTACAGGCGGCTACACCTCATTCCTCAGGAGACTTTGGCAACTTTTGCTGACATAGGTGTCATTTCTATGGCCAACCTGGTAAACTTCAGAACTTGACAGTGTTTTGCCTCTGTGATGTCATCAAAATCAATTTAAATGTTTTACTTCATAAAAACAAAAACAAGGGGTGGACAGTTCTAACCCCAGATACCAGCTGTTTATAGGAAAGAGAGACTAGGTGTTGTGGGGCAGAGAAGCTTTACTAGTAGTATTTAATCTTCAGATTACTACCAAGAGTTTAGGGTTACTTTTAAAGTGAGTGTGCAGGCTGGGCAGTTGCAGGCGGAGGGGCCCAGCTGCACAGGCTGTGCTGTTTTCGTGGGTCCCACAGCTCTGGCTGCTCTCTGGAAACTGCTGCCACAGGCCCTGTCCTGCAGCCACTTGCCAGCGAGGAGGGGCCGCTTCCCACGAAGGCTGGGCTGTGGTTACTGAACTCTGTCCACTCAGAAGTGGTGGAAAGGAAAACGCTCCATTCTATGGAGATGTAGTAGCTGAGAAAAGTCCTTGGTCTTTGTTTCATCTCTTCCTTCCGTTTTGTTCTGGTTTTGGCCAGGTGTAAAATACAACTGTCAGCAATTTACAGGGAGGGGGGAGTGTCAGCTTTCCTGTTGAAGAAAATATCAAGGGTCTGATTGGGAAAGGAGAAGTTGAAGAATGCCATATGGCTTCTACCTTCCTGTATTTCACCCCAGAACTACCTCTGCTGAATGACCATGTTGTCTGTTGGCAGTTGCTAAATGGAGAACAGTTACAACAAATGATTCTGCCCTTACTCACAGGGGCCCACCAAGAGGATAGTATTACTATGTGAGGTATCAGAAAGACATGTCTATAAGGGCTAAATTAATAGTTAATCAAGAGTTATTTAGAAATGTCTTGATACAGAATCAAAATAGCAATGGAATAGAAATCCTGACATTTATGTTCTTCTAAGTGCAGTCTAACTTGGCTTGATTTGGCCTGTGGTCATCTAACTGTTAACATTAACTCATTTCATTTTTTACTTGCCTCTGAATATATTACTGTAGATTGTCCCAAACTTGCAAACTGCAGACTTCTCAAATAATAATAATAATAAAAAAATATTGTTAAATCAGCAACATGGATAAATATTAACTCTGGACCCCTCTGATTAGTGTAATTGCCCGAACAAGTATTTGTTGATGTTTATGCCCAACCTGCCCAGAGCCAGTTCTGTTCAGGAATATAAATTATCTTCCAGCACCAACCTGGTGCTGATGCCAAGGACATGATCTTGACTGCTTCCTAACTTAGCTTTGAATGTCTGAGCTGTGAGGAATGTGCTGTATCTAACCTGGAGCTCTTGGCAGCCACTAATGTCATTAATCCAGTGAGTGGAGAAGCCAGCGCAGGTGACTGGACAGCTGGAGCTGTTTTCTCTACACACAAGGGGCAAAGGAACCTCTGAATAGCTCAAGGAAATGCTCAGTGTTGTTGGAACAGTCACAGATCTGCTTCCCTAGTGCTTCCTTCAGCACATGTTACACTTGACCCTGCCAGTGCTACACACCAATAGGAGTCAAGTCATTGTCCCCAGTGGCAGATTAAACTGCTTGGCCATTGTTGAGAGTCCAAGATTTTTCCCTCTCACCCTGCTTGGATGTGCAGCCAAAGTAAACATGAGCTAATAAAAACTGTAGAGATAACAGATGCAGGCTAGTTATGGACTAACTGTAGCACAAAGATGTGCAAGTTTTGTTGGCAGCTTTTCTGCTTTAGTTTTGAAGCTCAATTACCTGAAAAAGAGGCGGTATAGATCAGGTATCACTTCCTCTCTGTTGCAATAGGGGAACTGTATTTATGTGTATCCTTGGAATGAGAAAGGCATCTGTTAGGCTGCTGAAGATCTAGTGCCTGCCTTGCAAGGTAATTCCTCACCTGGAAGCTGAAGGTGCTGTGGCAGTCCATGCAGCTTCAGAATATTCTCCTGTGTTTCCCTTCAGTCCATTTCCTTGTTGGCAATAAATGTTTTCAGTTGACTTTTTCACTTACTCAGCACATCACCTGTGAGGTAGCACTGAGATCCGCAGTCTGCTGGGGGAGTGGAAGGAGGTGAGATGTCTACATGGTTCTTGGGAGTGTCTCAGCTCATGGTAAAGGGAAGAATGAGATTGGGAGAGGGTCAAAAATCTTTCTGTTTGTGGAGCCATTCTGGAGTGACAGGGTTTGGATTGCCCCTGTATTCCTGTGGTGCAGTGCTGTTGGACACTTGTGTTACAAAAGGTGCTGCAGTGAATAGCT